GATTAAGCTCATAGTTTGTATTTGTGATTGAGTTCATTTTTGCTAACAACCATTTAATTTCTGAGCAGGATTTCCATTACATTTAGGAAGATGGATGACTCCAAGATCCCATATGATTTCATTCATGATCCTGACCTGCAAAATCTCCATCCATTGTCATTACGAGGACAACAACAAACCAACATTCTTCCACTCCGGCAAGATCAGCCACCTAAAAATGCTCAGCCTTCACAAAAAGTTGAGCAAGCTCAAAAAGCTCAGCAAGCACAAAAAGTTCTACAATCGCCTGCTCCACATAGACCTATGCAGCTAACTGAAGCTGATTTTCCACCGCTGAGCTCTAGCATAAGAGTGCAGACCTATCGCAAGTGACACTTTCCCCACTGTGTGATGGGATTCAACTGAGGCTTCGTTTGGGACGGCTTTTTTACTGCTTATTAAAGCAGTTTAGTATTACAAAACTTTCTTGAACTAAAATACTAGAAAGCTGCTTTAGAAAGTATTAAGAAAGCCGCACCAAACGAAACTTAAAACTAGCTTTGTTTACAAAGCAGTTTTCCACTGTTCATGGCTCTGCCGTGAGCTTGTTTTTGTTTTGATCTTTTATTTAGAAAAAGTTTATTACTCTATTTTATAGATTAAAACGAGTAAATTGTATTGAAGAAGTTACTTACCAACTATAACTTTTTTTAATCCTTTTGTAATCATTTATTAAGTTAGGGTTATTTGTTGGAGATTAATGGATTCAGTGCTGGAATTGAACGAATATTCAAGTTGCTATGTCCATTGGAATTCATGTTTTTTGATCGGAAGGAAAGACAGTTTTTTTTTTCCATTTTAGTAGTATGAATTTAGCATACTGCAGAGATATATATACAGTACTGGGATAGTTTTCTTATTGCGTGAAGGGGGTTTGGGCTGCAGTGATGTGTATTGGGAAAGGATAACCAAAGAGAAAGGGAATAAAAAATCAAATTTAGCTTTTCTTGAGAAGTACGAAGCCAATTGTTCTATAGGAATTGTGGAGTTAATAATTGCTGTTAGAAACTTCTTTCCAGCTTTGGACAAGCATGCTTGAATGAAATAACTTGAACAAGCCAGGGAAAGAAAATTTTCTGCTAAAACCCATTTGACTCTATTAGGAAGGCTTTCACATTGGGAGATTGAGTAAATAAAGTCTGGTGATTGCATAAGTTTTTATTATGTTTGTTAATCTCTAGTTTTAGTTGTTAATTATCTTTGATCACATTAGATAACTTATTAAATGTTTAATAATGCTTAATATGTTTTATCCCCATATATTACTATTAAATTCATATGATTAAGCTCAAATTTTGTCACAAATTTTAGATCTTAAAATTTGGACAAAAAATTTTATAATTTGACTACGAGATTATATGAACTCTATTTTACAATTGTATGAACAATATACCGTGGAAAAAGATTTTGTCAATTGTGATTCCATCTACAGAGCGAAGGTTACAATTAAGATCAAACAAGCACAAATTAATATTACAAGACAAAATATAGAATTGAAGAGAAAGCAAAAAAATAAAGAAGGCAAAGAAGTCAGCCGGGGTCATTAATAGGCACAAGCTTCCAACCACAACCGAGATGTCAGACACGGACCATTCAGAGGAGGAAATAACCAACAATCCACATAAAAAAGACATACATCATCTAACACCCGAAATAAGGCCACCAAAAGAATAAGAAGATTTATCACCAATGGTTGCCAATAAGCCACGGAAGCCCATGTGATAAGTAAAAATCCATATCATAGCCCACCAAAAATTGCTACAACTGCAAAGCCAACCCCTAGCATCATATTTCAATTATAAGAGAACCAACCGCATCCAAAAAAAAAAATACAGAAAAAGCCACCAGTCAAAGGAAAAACACAAAACGACAATCAACCAAAAGATAACCCCCAACGTTAGAGAGCAAACAGAATTATGGGTTCACTTGATTAATATTTTCTCCATCTCATGCAAGTTATGCTAAATTAATCCATTTAAGATTCATAAATAGTTAAAACTTTTTTCCATTATGTTTAAACACTCGCATATATGAGGGCCTGATTAACCTGTTCATTTGTTAAGAATTAAGATTTAAGTTTCATTTGGGACAGTTTTATTACTGTTTTTTCAAAGCAGCTGTCTAATACAAAAATTTTAATTTTTATACTAAAAAGCCGCTTAAAAGAGCAATAAAAAAATAGTCCCAGATAAAACCAGCTGAGAAGTTGTTGAAAACCTCGATTCTCATCTACAACTGCATTAACAATGCCTGACAACCAGTTCAATTTTTGGGAAGAGGAACAACACTATTCTGGCTCCTATGAGTTTGTTCTATAATCCTGAATTGTAAAATCTTCATACAGCTAGCTGTTATCAGGGAGACAATAACATATATTTATTTTCATTAGTGTGGCCTTAAAATCATTAGACTTTATGTGTGTGTGAAGAATTTATATTGATTTTGAAATTTATTATGACTAAACTATTAACATATTCTATACAAAACTGTCAGTCAGATGACAGTGGTCTAATAGAGCTCCTAAATTTTTCATTTTCAAATCACTGAGCTCTCTTTAATATTAAGATAATGTTATTATCTCATGTAGAGAGAGTATTTTGTATGAACACTAGACCATTCAGAGGCGAATTACAGTGCACCACGTTACCTGGTACACAGCGGGTACATAGCCGCGGTACACAGCAAAGGGGTGATGTGGCGTGCTTTGATTCACCTCTGAATGGCGTCCGCATCCGCACAAAATAATTTCACCTCATATATGGAGTGAGGGTTTATTTATAGTTTTGGAGAGTGACATGCTCCGTAAATATAGGTAAAAACTAAAACACTCCAAATAGATCGGAGTAATTTTTTTCATCGTACACTATTCTTTTAGCATTCAAGTGTCTTAATGATGTCAAAATTAAATGTTTTAGACTAGTAGGTTTCATCTCATTAAAACACTATATTTGAATTAAAGCTGGCAAGATTTAGAGATCATAAGATCCTCCAATTAAAGTTCCAAAGGTGCCTATTATGTTTTAAGTTTTTTATTTAAGCTTATTTGGAGCTGGCTTGGATTATTTTATATGTCAATGGGCTCATCTTGTCGAGACATTCAATTTAATTATAAATTCGTTGAAATCGGATTGCATTTAATTTAAATTCTAAATTTTTTTTATTAAAATATGTGCATAATTAAATCAATTTTGGATGGCGTGCCATACTAAATTGACCATGGGTATGAGTAAGCATGTAATTTGCATTCTAATTAGTTCAATTAGAGTATCGTTGCATGAACTTCAATAAAAAAATTCTCTAAAATTGAGAAAATTCTCCCTTTTCAAAATTATTTTATCCATTTTTATCTTTAACCCAAAATTCTATCTGATCGGGCATTTTCTAATAATAACATAAGGAGGAGCAAATTATAAAAATCAAATATTTATTCTAATTAGATGAAATTCTCAAAATTAAATCAAATGGAACCATCTATTTTTATTTAGATCATTTTTAAGGGGCATTTACATACATAGCACTCTAAGTTATATCATTTATTTATTTAACATCTAAATTTTATTATTTACATAATGTAGTATTATGTTAATTTTTGTTAATACAAAACCCTTGTAGGGCAACAAAGCCACAAGAAAATCACAAGGAATTCTCATTGAGAATAGCATAGATGAGATCATGAGATCAACGACGTGCGAGCGACAAAGAAGATGAAGAAGTTGTGATAGAATCTCCCAAGCAACTAGCAAGGGCATTGGTGGGAGAGACAATGCATGGACTATCATGAGGAGTAGGGCTGCAAACGAACCGAGCCGAGCCGAGTATGTGAGTGTTCATTTAATATTAGCTTGTTCATGTTTGGTTCATGTTTGTTCGAGATTTAGCATTTGTGTTCATGTTTGGTTCATTTTGTTGACTATTCAAACACATTTAAATTAAGGAGTGTTCATGTTCGGTTCATGTTCAGTTCATGTTCGTTCGTTTAGTGTTTAATGAGCTTGTTAGCGAACATATTTAATGAATTTTTTTAACTATCGAACAAACAAGTTCTTGAACATATCTATGAACAAATACATTTATAATAAAATCAATTGTCTTAATGATTATTTATATTTATTAATTCTATAGTCAAATATTAATTATTTTTATCGAGATTATTCACGAGTTCAAAAGCGAACACGAATTAAGCTTTTGTCGAGCTTGTTCACGAACTTCAAATGACGTTGTTCGCGAACATAAATGAGCCGAACGCATTAGTGTTCAGGTTTGTTTACTTAAGAATCGAGAAATTAAAATATTGTTCAAGTTTGTTTGTTTAGTTAATTAAACGATCGCAAACGAGCTTTAATCAAACCGAACAACGAGTAGCTTGTTGAACGTTTGGTTCGCTTACAGCCCTAATGAGGAGGAACTCGCAATGAAATCTCACTAGGATGGTGATTGATGAGATTGATGGTGTACGATGCCGCAGCACTGCAGTGATGTTGCGAGTTTTAGCGCCACAGCGTCATTAGACAGAGACTTGAGCGTTGCAGCACCCTATAATGGCGTCGCAGTGCCGAGAGACGAACTGGATAATTTTCTTTCTCGTTTTCTCAAAGATTGCGTCCCTTCGTGCTCATAACTAGCTTTCTCTTGTATTTCATGTTGTAGTAGACATTGAGAACAGTGCATGTTAGAAGAGAAGAAATGAGAGAGTGAGAGGGAAGAGAGGTCTATACTCGTTTATCCTAATTTTGATAGTGAATTTTTTGATGTGTTGTGGTTTTTTTTTTTTTTCTTCCTAATTTAAGTTTTTCCCCATTAAATTCTAATGTTATTTATTTTCCATTAATTTTACTTGCTTACTTATTTCATTGTGGTGTTTACTCCTCTTCATCCTATCCTAACATAAATGACATAATTTTAAAAGCTATATTATCTTGAACGTAATTTTTTTTTTTTAACGATCTACTTGAATGAGTCGCTTCTCTTTCATTAAGGGGAGTAACTAGAAATGGCTGGATCCTCAATTCCCTCAAATCTGCACCAATTCCCCAATCCCCCTTCGCCTTCTCCTCCCTTCTTCTCCTTACCTCAAACCCGATCTTCCACCATGGAGAAAACCCTTCAAGATCCCCTCGAAACAAATTTCGAAGAATGGGAATTTCTACCCGACAACTCCTCCTTCCTTGAATTCGGTCTCGACGATATTGAAGACCTAATCTCCAACGAAATCATCTACACTGATTACTTCAGAGAAGAACCGAAGCTCATCCAGCAAACTCCAGCCCATAATCAAGAAGAAGATTCGCAGTTCAAGGATATAAGCATCTCCCATGTCTTCTTCAAGATGATAAATCCCAAGGTCGATGAGGAACTCATAGAGCTCACGAGGCCGAGCTACGAACTAGAGCAGAGTACAGTGGAGGTTGTTGTGCAGGAGATTGAGGCCGCGCCTTCGGTCTATCTGATGGAAGAGAAGGTTAATTTGGCGGAAAAGGGAGAATTAACGGAAGAGGAGGAGGAGGAAAAGGCGATGTGGGAAGGGATCGGGATTAGAATATGGAGATGGAGGTTTATGGGTGTCGGTGCTCTGTTTTCCATTGGAGCGGCGGCGGCTGCTACTATATGCGTGGTCGCGTTCGGCGGGCGAGAGGGCAAGCAGCCGCCGTATCGTCGTCACCAGCATCAGAGCAATCTTCTTCAGTTCCATTTTCATAATGAAGACCAGGTGAGTGTTTCAGAAATGGCTGTTTTGCTTTTTTATTTATTTTCTCGAATTTTACTGCCTGATCGGTCACATACCGCCAAGATTTGGGGTAAATTTATAGATCAGATTTGATTTGTTCATATTAAAAGCTGTTCGAGGAGTTCGACGGTAATTCGGAAAAAAAAAATTCTTTCCTGTACTTGAAAGATTAAACTTTGCTCGGAATAATTTGAGTGTGTGAAGGGATCTGATTCTAAGTAATTAGGCGTATAACCTTCACCTGATTCTATTTCCTCATCACCACCAATCAGATGGTTTCACGCACACTTACAATGTAAAAATATAATTATTGTAATAAAATCAATTTCTTTTTAAGACTAAGATAATTTTTTATGCTTTCTAAAATAAGGTTTTTGTATAAAAAAATTTTATTTTAGAAAATAGTAAAAAAAAAAACAGTTCCAAACAAAATCTAAATTTATGTAACGTTTGAAACATAAGAAATATATAAATAGTATGTGAATATTATACTTTTTATAATATATTGCACATAGATAATATAAAAAATAGGCTGACTTAGTGGATACGTTAAGCATTTCACTTCTTATAAATAATTCTCCTAAGAAAGTACTCAGGATATTTTCATTTTATTTCGATGTATCAATTTTGGCCAGTATAAATTCTTCTTGCTGTATGAACTCTACACTTTGTTTATTTCATTCATTAAAAAGAGAAAATTTGGATCACCATAGTCTAATTCAATTTAGGTTTCATTGGGAACTTTTTTTTTTTTTTAATTTTTGTATTAAAAAACTATTTTAAGATACAGAAAGAAAGCTGTCTCATCTTCATTTGGGATGACTTTTTTACTGCTTCTTAAAACAAATTTTTAATTTTTTTCTAATAAAAAGCTGCTTTAAAAAGCGGAAAGAAATCTATCCCAAATAAAGCCTTAGTCTTCTTTTGGACAGCTTTTTTAATGCTTCTTAAAGCAACATTTTGATTAAAAATTTTAATTTTTATACTAGGAAGTTATTTTAAGAATCAGTAAGAAAGTCATTCCAAACTAAGACTTAGAATTTTTTTTTTATTGATTCTTAAAGTAATTTTTTAGTAAAAAATTTAAATTTTCGTATTAAAAAACTGATTAAAAAAGTCCTTTCAAGCGAAGCCTTAGTTGCACAAATCATGATGCGCCAAAAAAACATTATAATCTGGTAAAAAATTTTATAAATATGTAAAAGATTTTATTTTTTGGCAGAGTGTTAGTCAATTGGTGGAACAAGCAAGCAGACTGAATCAAGCGCTGGCAGCAGCGAGGGGGACCCCAACAATGATGCGCACAGCGAAAATATCCTTCGGTGGCAGCTACGATGGCCTCTGATTATTCATGGTTTATATGGTGATCTGCTGAATTAAATATTTCTATATTTTTTAATCTATTTTGTGGACGTGGATTGTTTTTATGAACAATTCAAAATGGGAGGAAAGATCTATATATTTTGTATATGATTTATGAATTATACCACAGAATAATATGAGAAAATTATCTGATACATTTTTGGTACTGAAAAGGGTCAGCTACTGATTCAATAGCGTGAATTTGCCGGTGCAAAAACAGGGCAAGTCCGCAATATGAGGAGAAATTATTCTGCGGACATTGGACTCAGAATTTCATCCAGAGATCAATCAGAATGCGCCATGTCATTGGTACCGAGTCGCGTTATCTAGCATAGGAGTGACGTGGCATATTCTGATTGGTCCGCGCAAGATAATTAATCCAATCTTAGAGGTTGTGGAATAATTATATTTTTTTTTTTGTATTTTTGGGACAACTTTGGTACTGCTTTATATTAGAAAGTTGCTTTACAAAATAATTAGCAAATTATCTCAAAAAATTCTTTGGCTTTGTTTGAGATAATTTTAGACCATTACTTCTTCTATATTTTTAAGAGATTTTTGTACTAAAAAATAATTTTACAAAACAGTAAGAAAATCATCCCAAACAAAGTCATAGGCTATGTTTGCGACAACTTTCTTACTGCTTCTTAAAGCAGCTTTGTAGTACAAATATTATATTTTTGTACTAAAAAACTGCTTTAAGAAACAGTAAGAAAATCGTGCCAAATAAACCTTAATCTATCATCATTTTATTTACGGGTAAAAAATGATACAGAAATTTTCCATATGATAAATATGTCTAACTTTATAACATTAAAAATGCTTGCCTAATTATGCATCAATTACTATGTATGTCAATGTCAATAAACTCAAAAGTTAATTGAAGTATATATAACTAAATTGCTGGGCTATTTTTCTTTCTTTTATTTGATTTTCAATGTAAGAGTAACTTAATAATAAATTTAATTAATCTAAATTTGATATTTGGCATGTCTTATTATATTCAAAATTAAATAAATATATTTATTATTCTATTTCTAGAAGAAATACATCCCAAAAATTATGTCCAACGAACGCTAAATTATCATCAAGTTATTCATATTAATTAGCATAAAAACAAATTATATTGAATACAACTATGATTTTGTTTGGGACAACTTTGCTACTCTTTCAAATGACTTTCGAATACAAAAATTTCTTCAATTAAATTTTTTTTACTAAAAACCGTCCAACGAACGCTAAATTTTATCATCAAGTTATTCATATTAATTAGCATAAACAAATTATATTGAATACAACTATGGCTTCGTTTGGAACTTCTTTGTTGCTTTCTCAAATGACTTTCTAATACAAAAATTTCTTCAATTAAAATTTTTTTACTAAAAATCAGTTTTATAAAGTAGCGAAAAAGTTGTGGGACGACTTTCTTACTGCTTCTTAAAACAGTTTTTTAATATAAAAATTTCATATTTTATACTAAAAAACTGCTTAAAGAAACAGTAAGAAAGCCGAGCAAAACATAAATTCGTTTGTTTAACTGAAGCAATCACCTTCCATCAGTTCTTTATTAAGTAAAATATCAGAGTTCCATCTGGTCCTAAAACCCAACACAACAAGCAATAATATTTCAATCGTTTAGGTAACCATTTATCCATGTTTTTTATTACTATTTGTATATCCATTTAAATATGAAACAGCTTAAACCAGAAATGCTGAATCATATAAATACAGATATCTTTCTCAATAGAGAATGGCTCTTCAAAGTTATCACGTAACTGTAACTTGAAGATCTCTACAAAATTGCCACGGAACCGTCGCTTAGGCCCAAACTGTCGCCTTCGGTGATGGAAGAGATTGGAAATCTCTTTCAGCTTTCATTTCCCAATTCATCTTCTAGTGGAGCCACATGATTCAATAATAGATCAACAACCCTTTCGTCACGCGTCTAGAGATTAATTCAGATGCGCCACGCCATTTGCATTGAGTCGCATTGGATGATGTGGCACGTCGTGATTGGCCTCCAGACCCGTCCGGACACCACACGTAATAATTTTTCCTTTCCTTGTGATGTTCTTTATTCTTCAATATTTGTAATATCTTGTGATGTTCTAGCTTTATTCTTCATAAATTTCTAGGTAATAGACAAAGTAGTTGTAAGAGAATTTTTCCTATTAAACAAACGGACATGCTTGCCATCCTTGGAGAAGGTACTGAAAAACTGGTACAAATATGTTAAAGCTATTAAGATTGGTCGTAGAGTGACACTGCTCAAAAAAAGTTATTGCAGCACATTTTTTGAGTTATTCCAGCAATTATAACAGCCACTAATTTCTTTGTAGCGGTTCTAAAACCATTGCACCTCCGCTGTAATTGTTATGCACTGCAACGGCATTCCGCAACGGTTTAATGACCGGCGAGGTAGATTGGACGAAGTGGCAGATTTGACAGCGGTTATAACCGCCACAAAGTATCAGATTTGCAACAGTTATAATTGCCACTAATATCTCCAAATTAAACTGTTATGTTGTGGTTAAAACGGCCACAAAAGTCAAGAATTTTCTTTTTTTAACCACGACCGAATTGCTGCGAAAAATCTTATTTTTTTTTAGTGTGAGTTGTTAGTCCTTTCAGGGCTGGGGGTTACCTTGAGCAGTCTCTTCTCACAACTAAATCATTCTTAGATTCAGGCGAAGGTAATAAAAATTGAAAACAAAATCATCAGTCAGATTAACTATAGATGGAGTTCTTCAAAACTTGTACCTACATACAGCATATATAGGAGCTAAATAACGATAACAACACAATGCAAGAAACTGGAATGACAACTCTCCTAGTTCCAAAGTTCTGAAGAAATCAATCATTGCTACTACTCATACCTGCACCTGCCATAGCCTGATCAGAAATATAGATGAAGAATCTTCTTAGTAACATATTCTCAGTAACAGTTAGAACCATTTAGGGAAATTTACACGCATACCACTTTATTTCATGATATTTACATATTTAACATTCAAACCATTAATATTATATGTCTACCATGCAAAATTGAAACCATTCAAAAAATTTACACACATTCAAAAATTTTCTATCGGAATATTATGAATCAAATTGAGCTCATTAAGCAGTATATAGACCCAAACAGTATATAAAACAGTAAAAATACATGTCTCAAACGTAGCATAAAAAGACTTTGTTCTTTATTAGATTTAAGCAAGAATTTATCTTTTAATAAGACACAATGGAGAAAAATGATTCATTCAGCCAACTTCACATTGCAGGATAAAGACTTGATGTTATTGTTGTCATCGTCGTCAAAAGCAGCATAAATGTGATTATTACAATAATCATTTACTACTCAATTTTAAAAAAAAAATCTAAATATCGCAATAATTTCCAAATTTATTTTCTTCTAAAAACAATTATACAATTACTTCTATAACAATTATAACTGTCCCAACATGTCCTCAATAGTCAATATTATTTCACTATTCATTCATTTAAATATAGATTTAGAGAATACTAGAGATGCTCAAGTCTCATTCCCCACCCATCAGCAAAACAAGACAAGAGAGCATAAAAAGACTGATCAACAAAGAAAAAAAATAGAAGTGAAGTGCTACACACTTACAACATAATAAAGACTGGGAAACTAAGAGCATATATTATGTAAGTACAAAATAAACTCTTAACAACAGAGCTGAAAATCCTTACAAAATAGTTTGAAAATGAACTTAACAAAGATAAATTGGCGAACAGGGTATTCCAAATTAGAAACCCACTGTATTTTATAATTACTGGGCCACATAACATCCAGTAAACCAGATCAAAGACAGAACAAGAAAGGAAAGGCCATTAAAGAGTCATTTATTTCCAACAATTTAATGATATCGGACAGAAGAAAGGAAGCTTGAAAAGTAATCATGGAATGGTGCGTTGGTAGAGGGGAAGAGCTCCAAGTGCCTCCCTTTCCTCCCTCTCCTTCTTGACCTGCAATAGTACAACTATCAGGTCCTCTACAATATCAAAATCACTGAACAAACAGATTCAAGAATGATCAGATCTAAAAACCTTTTAATCATTATCATAAGACAACATAGCCCCACATTGGGTACCCGACTCATATCCAATGGATATGGGTGGGTATAGGTATGCCCATGGCCTTGCTCAACATCGGGGTATAAATCAATTTACATTGTTAATCACCGTATATCTTATATTAATGCAATCCTCACTATGTAATATGTAACACTTAACCACACTGCGACTACGATAAATTCTGATATGCATCTTTAAAGTTTACAATCAGAGCTAAGGGAAACAAGCCTCAAGGCCATCAATCCGCGGCAGACTGCGTTCAAAAAGCATGGAAAGTGGGTGGGTATAGATGGGTATGGCATCCTGAAAGTCATCATGGGTGGGCGAAGCCCGTCCGAGTAAAGCATGGGTACCCAATGCGTACCCAACCAGGACCCCATGTAGGGCTTTGTAAGACAACTAAAATGAAGTATTAATTTCACCATGAACTTAGAAAATCAGTTTCCTGTACAGAAATTATATGCCCATCGAGGGTGTGAAACCTGGCTGGCCCTGAGTAATGCGAATTACAATTAATGACAGTTAAGCTTTTCCAAGTGCGCAGACAAAATGCAAGAAGAGAAACAAAATTCTATAGTTGACTCCCATAATGATTCACAAGCGGTTTCTATTCTTTCATTAATCAACATGCGATAAATCCAACAAAAAATGTATAATGGCGAAAAAAAGTTGAGTAATTATGACAATATTAAAGAACCTAACACGGAAAACTCATTCACGTATATAGCTCCTAGGCTAATTTCTGCTAGAAAAATGACACAGGAATAATCAAATGGGATCAGAACTATAGAAATGATAGGAAAAAAAAAACCAATGGGCAAGGGAGTTCAAGTGAGATCACAGGCGGAAGTAAATCAGCAGTACAATACCAACTGGAAGAAATTGGAATGAAGGATGCAAAAACGCGATTTTAAACGTGAAGAACTTGGAATGAAGGATGCAAAAAGCCAAACCTAAAATTGTCCCTAATTTAGAACAAACACCAACTGCAGTAATAAAGAGGGGTTACTGCCAAAGAAAATGTCGGTGTGCAGGCTGAATTATTCTGTGTGGTTGGACGGAAGAACCGTATTGTTCATATTGCGCTTTTACTATTCACAGAAACAAAACCGGACGGTTCTTCTGGTCCGATCTCCACATAGAATAATCTCTCTGGGCTTGCACTGGGATGATAAATGTACCATTTCAGGTAAACCATGTTGTACCTCAATACGAGAAGTATGTACCTAAGGAAATCAGAAGTAAAGCGAATCATACGCAATTTTTTTCACACAAATGTTAAAACTTAGTTGTTTATTCAATTTATAGATATGGATACTCGAGGTGATGTAATAAAATTTATGAAATAAAGAAAATATAAATAATTTCCTCACATTTCAGCAAATAATTTCATTTTTTTTCTTTCCATTCAATCAAAAGACCTTCCTTTTAATATCATAAACCACCCTTAATGCCTGACCACTAACCTTTCTAATGCATGCATATTAAGATAAATTTTTACATAACTAATTCAGTGAACAATGAACAAATAAGCGCTGAAAAAAAAATTAAAAGAAAAAAAGATAACAAACAGACAAATAACACAATCAAACAAATATTATAACTTACAAGAGCCAACATATCCCGAAGATAGCTTCTAAATGGTGTCTGCAGCTTCTGTGACAAATAAGAAAATACCGATGGTAAGAATATCATGTTGCTGATCAAAGCAAAATGAGTATTGAGTCTTTTAAGGCACCATTGTGCTATTCAACCAACCATAATTTTTCAAATCATATATAAGCCCAATAAGGGGCGGAGATACATCACTATTAAAAAAACAAAAACCAATAAAAGGGATGTACATGTTAAACAGCGAACAAATAGCACAAATTTATTTATAACACAGGGCATTATTGATTATTGATGCAGGGCATAAATGCAAAAATAATTGGAATAAAAAATTTGCACTTTTTGAATAAGAGCAAATAATAATTAAGACAGTTAGCCACTAAACGATAATATAAAACGAAAGAGGGATAACTACGCTTAGGCCAAATCACATGCTAAGAACTTGAATCACCAAAGTAATTTAGAATTTCATAAAATGCAAATTAAATAGTTATTCAATAAAATCCCTAAGTTAACAACGAGATTAGAAATAGAGAAAGTCAAAACTCAAATCCTACGTTTACAAGGTGAAGGCAGAGAACTTGGCACGAATCCTTGTGCTTGATTCACCACCTACAAGATCAAAGGATTTAGAAGATAAATGAATGGGGGAAGAAGTTCACCCTTGTCGAGGACCGGAAGCAATTTGCCACTGAACATTGGCGAGCTGTTCTTCGATTGCTTCGGATAGTGTGGAGATGATGCGATCTAAATATTCTTCAACGGAGTTGTCGACTTCCGAGTTGACGTCGAAGAATGTTGACCGCAGAATGTTGACGTTTCCTTGCTCGTTGTAGACGAAGCCGGAGTCAAGGTCGGGATTGGCCATTCATTGATACCTTGGTTGTAGTATTGTAGATGAAGGTCTTGACTTTCCTTTACGGACTCCTCTCAGAGGGAGGAGATTATCTCAAGGATTCAAGAGGGAAAGAGGGAAAGAGGGAAAGAGGGAGAGAGATGGTCAGCCAAGGATGAGAGCAAGGGGGAGATTTAGGTTCAGATTTTTAGAGGAAGAATGTGGAGGAAAATCGAGCAATTGTTTCCCTAATTTCTCCCTTAATTTGGAAAGGATTTAGGTGCAATTAGGAAAGGGGTGGGGCGGCTAAGAGAGAGGGAGATAGGGTTTGAATTGTTTCTAAGAGGGAAGCTTGCCTTTCGAAAATAATTCCATAGGGATCCAAGAGGGGGCCCGGCGGCATAGGGAAGGGTTTGGGTACTTTAAGCAAGTGTATTAATTATTACTTAAATGGGATTCACCAATTAAAGAAAGTAGATTTATTCCAATCTAGTTTAAATTCAATTTGGATTTGATTTTAGAAACTTTCCTAAAATTGGATTCTATTTTAGAAATTTTCAATTTTAAATTAAATGATTGAAATTAAATAAATTTCCCAATAGAAGCTAAGCAAGAAAGGAAAGTATTCATGTGGAAATTAGGAAACCGGAGGCAAAAGGGAGAGGGTGAAATTGGTAGCTAGGCTAGTGTTTGGTGGAGGTGGAGGGGGGTCGGATGGGTCACCCAATCAAGGAAACCATCTTGGGTGGCCGGCGGCTAGGTGGAGTGGAGAATAGGGTCTAGGCCGATTGTGGTGTTGGGGATGTAGCCAGCGGTGGAAGCTTGGAGGGGTGGCGGTTTGGGTTTAGGTGGGCCGTATGGATGGAAGGAAAGGGAGGGATAAAGAGAAGAAAAGAAAGACAAAGAAAACTAGCCACGAATTCAGACTCTTCCAAGATTAGTGGGTGATCCGCCTCCCTCTACAAGGAATCTCTTTCCAACTCCTCTCAAGCTCTCATAAGAACTCACAATGCATAAATTTTTTTATCATTCATTCATTAACTCTCAAAAGAAAACATTAGGGCTATATATAGCCTCATACAATGGACGAAAAAAATAAAAGACTACTTCACCCTTTGGGCTTACACATGACTGTTGACTATAACTGCCGACCGACACCATCGATGGTTCCATGATCGCTCCAATCGTCGCCTCTCTCCTGATCCCTCACATAACCGCTCCCTCAAGACATAAAAGAGAGAAACCTCTCCCATTCAGAAGGGAAGCACACATACGCACACAGAAACTCAAGAAAGGAAGTTGACGACTTACCTCTCGATCTCGGGGACTCCAGCCGCTTGCCTTCGTGTCCGAACTCGTTCCCTAGCCGACTGTCGCCGGCCTACACTCGCAACTCCGGTTGAATCCACCGCCAGCCTGCACCAGCTGAAGTCGCCGGACGACCTCTCGCCAGAGCCGCCGCCGCCTGCAAACCCGAAGTCCTCCACCTCTGCCCTTGCCCGACGTTCGGCTCCTGTCCCCGAACCCTCCTGCCGACGCCGAACCCGCCGTGCGTGAGCTTGCCTGTCTCCGATCTCTGCCCTAGCCCGATCGGGTCCTTCCCAATTCTTGCCCCATCTTTCATCTAATATATTATATAAGATATATAATATAATGTAATATTATAATATATAGTATATGATATATATACATACATACATACATATATATATATATATATATATATATTATACAATAAAATAAAATAAAAAAAGAAAAGAATGAGAGATAAATGTGGACAGATATGTGAGGATTTTCAAACAGGTGTCGAAGACCCCGGCCATCGTACCTTAGGTCCGACCGGGATGGTTTGAAATTGAAAACTAGTGCCGTTGATTTTTAATTCGGGCAGATGATTTTAAAATTTGAAGAACCCGGGCCGTCGCATCTTACATCCAGCCGGGATGGTTCCAAATTAAAGACATCACGCTGTCGATCTTAGATCCTGGTGAGATGGTTTGAAATTGAAGATCCTACGCCATCGACCTTAGGTCCGGGTAGGAAGAAATTTCGGCAGATGCCGTCCCGATTTCTCCCTCGGTGGGGAGGAGACGCCGGGAAGCTGCAAAATTTTCAATGAACAATACGGGACTTAGACAAAAAAATTAAAATTTGATTTAAACATAATTCAAACATGAAATCAATTTTAAATTAAATTTGACCGAATAATGTTCGACTTAAATCCGAATTAGACTCAGATCTGAACTCGATTTAAAATTGAAATTGACTTGATATGTGATACATTCAAATTGAACTTTTCATTAAGGTCTTGCGCTCAATGAAACAACTAATATATTTGAGCCACTATCAAATCATAAATGATACTGATTTCTATTGAGGTTCAAATAGATTATACTGATATTTGATTATCTTATCAAATATTCAAAATTTTAAATTAACATTGGTTTAAAAGCTCTTGAATAATTAATTGTAAAATGCCATCACATTGCAAAATGTTTGAAACTAAATTATTGAAGGAAGATATATTCTCAAGTGATCAGTGGTGAAATTTTAATGGACCTATATTAGTCTTCTAAAGATCTTGGTCAAGAATATGGCTCCTCAGTTAAGTTAGAGAATTGATAGATTGAAGGGTTTTAACTTTTCCAATTTTATAATAAATGGCAATGAAGTTATGATGATCATCAGAAAGGATTAATATTTCTAATGATTTTGAAATTTTTCTATTGCAATATAATAAGATAATACTCATCAGTTGTTCTCTTAAGTGCCACATCCACATCTACAACAATGACCTATAGCAGATCTTTTACCATCATATGGTAATGGAATTGAACTTCCAGGAAAAAGGGGATAATGAAACCATAGATGGCCAAGGATTAGTGTGTTTACTGCAGCAATTTAATGGTTCAAGTTGTAATAATTAATGCTCTATCAGATTCACCATTCACAAATGGTATAGTTCCAAATTCATGCTCAGATATGTGCATTAAGGACAGTAGCATCACTGTGCGTCATGATGCAATCACCCTTAAGAGTGGATGGGATGAGTATGGGATTTACTACTCTAAATCCTCATCCAAATATCCATTTTACCAATGCCTTCCTCCAATTCTTTTTTTTTTGGGTCTGCCCTTACATTTGGTAGTGAAATGCATGAAGGAATCTCAGACGTCCAAGCCGAATCATCTTCAAATTTAAAACTTAAATATTGATATCAACTTTAAAACCATGAGAGGTCGTGCTGGTTTAATGAAAAACATTTTAATCTCTGATGTAGTGTTGCAATCTATCAGAATTGTAATTAACTTTGACGAACCCAACGCCACCGGATCAGCAACATGTGTACAAGCGGACAGAAGGCGTTCATAGGCCCTTACATGAAATCCCGGACAATTTTCTAAATAAAATTATTTGCCTAAATGGATCATATTTAAATATTTTAAAATGTCCCTTATGTATTAAATATGATCACTTGCACTAAATTCGCCCTGTATGTGCTCCGACAAACCTATTACAAGTACAAACACCAATGTCTGAGAATGCTGCGCATGATCAAATGCTACAACCGGCATGTCTCTGATCATCGTATATAAATCTCAAATCCAACTATTCAAGAATGCTGCGCGGGTTAAATATTTAAGTTTCATCATCCTCCTCAAAAGGACTGGAGTCGGCATGATTTGAATTATAAAATGCCTCCAAAAATCTTACAAAAATATAAGTGACCTTAATGTCACCCCGATGATGGCCGCGTTGACAGAAAATCTCAACCGGATGAGTCAAATCTCAAATCCAATCAAATCTCTAAAATAAAATTTATCATCTGAAAACTTAAAACTAAAAATCATCTACCTCCCGCAACTGTTTGTCGGGGGTGATAAATTTGAAATTAACCTCAGCTCACAAAGAGCGAATGTGTTTCGGGTGTATCACTTTGATTCATCCTCAAATAGTCTCTTGTCAACAGGGACGTGGCACGTGCCCTCTGATCGGGTGGTTTTGCCGCAAAAATGGCTCCATTATATTATGATCACGGCCAAAGCCCGTATGTTCCCTAAAGGCGTTAAACCCTTAAGCAATGAATCATAAGGTATATTCGATAGGCATAAAACCCTCTGTTAGCTAAGGTGGATTCAGATATATCCCCTTAGACAAATATCAACCCAGGTCTACAAGGTATCCTTGGACGAAGCAACCCATGGCTGTTGATAAGGTGTTTTTGTCAGGTTGGGTCGACTACCTCCTCTGACTAAGTAGACCAGGGATCATGACAGCCCTGGACGACGGAACCATGGGATCTTGATCGGGCTCGTCTTCATTCCCCCCACCACCAGTTTTAAGTTTGTGGTGATAAACTTTAAATTCTAAACTTCAAAATCCAAATCAATAGATCACATTTAAACCTAAAATTGTTGCTATTATACACTAGATTTATGATCGGTATGACCTCTTTTACAACTAGCCTTAATCGAAAGTTCTCTCTCGTTATCGGGAGGGGTAATTAACTATTAGGGCTTGCGCCTATAGGAAACCAGAACTCAGATCAAAAAGTCCTCACAAAATGAGGGCGAAATCTCTGGGTAGTGTCTTATCCAAAACCCAATCTTCCTTCTGAAAATTCCCCCGGAACCTAATCTCGTTAAAACTCACTACCGTCATCATTACACAAACGTTTAAAATAAAAATAGATCGATGGTGCGGAGAGGCCGGGAACACTCATCAAATTAAAATTGAATTTTTCGGAGCCCACAATGACCACCCTTAAGTAAGGGGTAGAAAGGGAAAAAAAGTTAAAGCAAATACAAAACAAATACATAAAAGACAAGTACATATTAGGACTTAAAAATATATAGGCGCGATCGTGGCCATAAATCGGCGACCACGCCGCTGATAAACTTTCCATGCTCCGATATCCCCATCAATTATGCAAGAGGCAAGTTATGAATACATGCTATTGTCTAAACTACCAACCAACGCATATGCAGCTAAAACACAATCACACACATGCCAAAACCAAGATATTCCATAATCTTTTCAGTCTTACCCAAGGCACTGGATCTTAAACAGAGATTGAGGAGAAAATTAGCTATTTTGATAACGATGAAATTTTGAAGGCCATATACTTCAATTTTTTCTTCCATCAAACTAAACTAATTTTGCTTGAGAAATATAACACATGGTTAATTAAACAATTACAAGATTATCTATGGATACAACTATTTCCACAACCAATCCATATGCGATTTTTAAGGAAAATAGAAAACTTTCTACATTGGCTGATCTTCCATCTTGTAAAGATATTCTAATGAACGAAATTGCAAGCTTGATGGTAGTTCAGGGGAAAATCATGCTAAATCATAAAACTCAATATTTCGACCGTTCTTTAAACCCCTAATTCAAAGGTTTGAGAATGCTGCGCGGGTCAAATATTCCAAATTTCATCCTCCTTGAAAGGTCTAGAGTCGACTGACTTAGATTAACAAATGAATGTCTAATCATCAAACATAAAGGCTATCTAAATGAAATTCAACATAAAACATAAATATTTGATTTTAATGTTTGTATAATCGTCAATTCTTAAACCCGATCCTTTGTTAGTGGGTGAACTTAGTTCAATTGGTTGTGCACTAAGTTTTATAGTACTCTATTTTGTGATCCTCTACTTAATCTGCATAAGTATATAGTTTAATAGGGTATCCTCTCCAAAAAATCATAAACAATAACAAACTTAACAATATTAAAATGGAGTTCTTCAAGATTGTTATAAAATAAAATAATATCATGAAGACTTTAAGGTAAATTTTATAAAACTAAACTTAATATATTGATGTTGTATGGATCCAAGAGTTGTGCAATAAAAAAAGTATTTAAAGCTAAGTTAAACATTACAAAAATAAGAATTTTAAAATAGATGTGTAGCAAAACTTAGAAGAATAACTTCAAGAATGATTATATTAAAGAAACGATTAGGGAAGTTATAATACATTAGAGATAAGGTAATTAAAAATAGACTCAGGTCATTTGGACATGTATAATAAAGATAGAAAATACACCTATTAGATGGCTATATAAATTTATGTTGGAGGATTAAGAAGAATATATAGACGAAGTTCAAAATGACCTTAAGAAAAAGGTCTAACACTTTCAACACACTCAATAAGAATGAATAAAAAATGAAAATTCATAAGCCAATCTCAGCTAACTGGGATAAAGCTAATGAAGATCATGATGTCCGTTATCATGAGTGTAGGAATAAGTGGATTCAATAAGATTTGGAGAATGTAATGCTACAATAAAAACATGACTAATGTTTCTTTCTATTTTGAAAATTCCAAGAACTTTGACTCTAATATCAATTGATGATGAACGGGCAATGAAAGTGAAGACAATGACAAACTTCATTGCATTGGTTTTCGGACAAGGAAAAAATCCAATATTTAAAAAGAACAAGTTGGTGAAAAAAAAAATAGAGAAGAGGTTAATGAAACCCCCAAAAAAGGGCGAAGAGGTAGAAAGAAAAATGAAAGAGGGCCTCATGACTAGAATAAGAGAGTGGAATTGGTCCTTATAAGAGATGCCAAAAAAGCCCTTCTGAATCCCATGGTCAAGCATCCTAATTACAACCCTTGGCCTATTATATCCACTAGTAGTATACTCTCATTAACAACATGATCTAATAGCAAACAATAAAATGAAAAATACAATGACGTAAGCATGAAACGTTAAAAAATACAATCTAAATAAACAATATGAACTCATGAATAAGGATTGCAGTAGAAGACTCTCATTGGCCCAAGTCATAAAATCATTGTAATTAATATTGGATATTTTCAATTTAAACTCTACATTTAAAGTTTCATTAAGGTTGTTTTCTTGAATGATAAAATTATATTCACTTCATAATTTCTGTGAATACTTTAAGGCGTTGATTAAAGTTGGTAAGGAATTATGATCAAGTAGTTATAATTGTGGTCCATGATCAGTTGGACAAAAAAATTAGTGACGCAAAAAATGTTTTTTCAAGGTTGACCTATAAGGATTTATGGGTTATAGAATTATCCAAAGAAGACCATCTACATGATACAACATGATATACTAAATGTTCATGTCTACAATATATCGGAATTCGGAACTTATGTTTATAGTATAAACTATTGAAATTCAGAGGAAAATTGATTCCATACTTCAGCCTTCAGTGTGTAAACCTTTTGAAAAATAAAATGTAACTAGTTAGTAAATCAAATGTACCATCAGGTTTAGACATTTGATGAATCACAAAGAACAAGCAAAGTGATAGGACTACCTCTCCCAAGTTGACTAGTGATGGTACAAAACATATTTGCTCTACAGATTCCATAAAAAATAAAAATTAACTATTAATTTGTTGCTTTTTATTCCTTTTATCTTCTTATATGTAATCAAACAATCCACAACTATGATTTTTTCACAAACAAACAATGCAAGAGTAGGAGCAAGAAAAAAGCAAAATAAATGTATAAATTTAAAGACATTCATCCAATATATAGTACATGGTAGTTCAAAATTTTTAATTGACCTGTCTAACAGTTCATACAAGGAAGCAGAGCAGAGATAAGGATAAACTGCTATATAGTTATATACTTCTCATATTTTTAGGAGCTTAATTGGTTAAGTAGGCATGCCCTTTATTTATGGTCTGCCTTTTGTAGGATCTCAAAATTAAAAACCACCTGGGGTTGGATACTCCGAAATACATATTTCAGGAATTCATGAACACTTGATGCACATGCATTTTTACTACTTTAAGGGAAAAAAAAAAGTAAATTCTAGTTTAAATTCCAAAGGTTTTATGGATAAAATTCATGCCAAAACAAAATGCAAGTTTTGGTATTGCAACTAACAAGCTCATAGATCATACTAATAGGCATAGTGACATGGTCAGCGACATATCAACCGAGAATATAAAAAATCTTTTCTTCGTTCTTAAAAGGTAACAGGAACCCATCTCATAGATCATGAAGTTCACAAATCAAACATGCCACCCGCAATACTGTAGTAGGTATTTTAATCCAAAAGAGAAGTCCTTCCTCTTGGTACGTATGATTAACAAATAAAAAAGCCCTCCAGATCTTCATAGACATTATTCTCTCGTAAAATTTAAGCATCATCACCTCTTTCAAAACCCCGGATCAGAAGATTATAAAACTTTAATCACGCTTACATTTTTTGGGGCAAATCAGATCACATAAAAACACTTCCCAAAACCGCCAACTGCGGAGCGATAAAACAAACAAACAAAGCAATATATAGATAGAGAGCAGGGAAAGGAGCAGGACCTGCATCTCCTCGGACAAGTACTCGTGCTTCATAGACAGATCCAAGGCGCGCTTCAGGCGCTGGTTCCTAGCGTCCACAACCTCGCGCGGGAGACGGCTTAGGGCCTCCTTGATATCGAGATCGTAGTACGGATCATACAGATCATCATACCGTAAGCCTAAATATCAATACGATATGAAGAGTTAATACAACAGCTAATCAATAAAGCACTGCATTCAGAAACCCTAGAAGTTGTGGAGATTGATGGAAGAATAAATTACCATAATTCCTAAGGCGCTTGGAGATGACCCTCTGGTGCACCGCCGCCAAAGGGTTTTTTCGAGGGTTCACGAGCCACCGGCTGATTGCCGAGAGGACCATTGAAGCTCAATCTAGCTCACGAGCGTCTTCTTCTTCTTCTGTCGTTTGATATCAGGGAACAGAGAACTGAGGGGCTGTTTGGTATCGGATTTACAGCGGGATTTAAGTCGGATTTACAATTAGTAATTAAATATTAATATAATTAGATTAATTAATATAACTTAATATATCTATTATTAAATTTATAATTAATGATTAATTTGTACTTAACATATTATTAAATTTATAACACATTATATTTTTTATTTTTAATTACAAATTTATTTTTAAGTTATAATTATCTTTTTCACATTTAAATGCCTAACTGCTATAAATTCTGAAATAGGTTACCAAACAGTTTCTCTGGATTTAACAGGATTTAATATTTGGCATACCAAACAGTTTTCAGGATTTAACACATTTCGGATTTACTAAATCCAGATTTACAAGATTTATTAAATCCCACTAAAATTAAATCTCACTTGTTGCCAAACAGCCCCTGAGCGTAATTAGATGGGCAAGAATTTCTTATTTCTAGCCAGCTCTTTGGAGAATCAGAACCGTCTACATCGGATGTTGGTTACATCTGGACCGTCCATCTCTTGTAGCAGACCTTTTGTTTTGAGTCCACCCGGTCCGGTCGTAAGGGGGACCTGAAACAGGGCTTTGATCGGATTCAGCAATGTTTCTCTGAAAAAATTAAAATTTGATATATTTGTAATAAATTTTTTATTTGGCATTTTATATAAAATAGTAATATGATACATTAAAAAATAATGATTTAATATCACATATTAATAATATATGGCACAAAAATAATGCTGAAAATATTTGTAGTTGAATAATATAAAAAATATTTTATATCCTTATTATGAGATAAGGAGACTTATCATTTATTCTTTTAGGAAATATTTTATACTATTTAAATTTATTTAATTTTTTTAATCATTTCAAAGTCCTCTAATTTATTAGTAGCATAATTACATCCTCTTTCCATTAGGGTGTTATATATTTTAATATTATAGAGTACAATAAATAAGATTAATTTAATTATTTAGTTGAATGGAAAATATATGTAATGAAAGTTTTTTTTTTTTTTAAGGACAATATTGATAGAATTGTACATTCATTGTTGTAATTGTTGACTCTCTTTTGTTATAGAATGGAATAAGCAAGTTTCAAAGAAAAAAAAAAGTATAGTGAGCTAGAAATAATAATAATAATAATAAAAGGTTAAAAGGGACAAAGTACAACTAAAATTAGCATAATATTTTGATTAGTAAGATTTGATAAGTCATCAACAACAAACTTTACTGGATACGATTCTCGATGCTTATTAAATTGAAAACTTACAAAATTAAATTTATGGTCATAAGAACTTTGATTTCGGCAAACTTTTAGTCAAGGTGAATGTCTTGATGAGACAAAATTATCGATGCCAAGAAAGATTCAATTCGAGTCTGAACAAGCCCAGATCAAGCACTTGAGCATAATTAAAAACTTTGGAATATTAATCGCAGGATTAAATTATTTATGAATGTTAGATGCTTATAGTCAAATCGATCAACTCAATGAAATGAATCAAATGAGCCAAAGAAAATGTAATTTTGATATCAATAAGTCACTTAAATATTGAAAAGAATGAGATATGATCATGAGAATCAATACAAGTCGTCCAATAATGTTATAAATTTTAACTATATTTATAGAATATATCACTTAAAATTTATAAATAGATCATTGATCTCTATAGGAGGGAGGATACTTGGCTTGAGATTCAAGAGTGCTCAGAGGATTAAAGAATCTTGAAACATCATCCGACCATCGCCTGACCTCCAACATCAAACCATTGTTTGGTCGTTGACATCGGACTACCATCTAACCATCGCTTGACCATTATCATCACCTAACCTTGGACTACCAACACCTCTTTATGATCACTTTATCATCATCCTCAATTATAGTCTCCTGACTATCATCATCCTACTACAATTCTCCAATCATCATCGTCCGCTACTTTTTGTCACATAACATCACCTATAATGTGGTGCATATGATAACTTATAAGGGCAATACATACTGTTGACAACAACTCTGACTCTCAACGTCAGGATCAAAATTTATACATGACCTTTTAATCTCTAGTCTTCCCTCCTCAAAGAAAAACAACAAATATTCTCTTAAAAATGACCCTCGTGCCACATAACTCTTTTAACTATCACCATGAAATACATTATCTACAGTTTATGCCAACTATATTGTATCAACACGAAGCTCAATCATGAGGAAGGACATCATTTGTAACTATTGACAAATGCTAGTGAAACCATTTCAATCAAGCTAGCCCTTATGATTCTCCTTTTTAAAATTTTTCACGTAAAAATCCTAATATTCTTTGTAATCCCTTTTAATTTATATCTATATATGTGCTAAATATTTGTACAAAAGTAAAATTCTAAATACTTCCTCTTTCATGATTGTTCGAACACACAATAAGGTTAAATTAGCTTTAAGTCTAAATATTAAGTGTAAACTATAGGTTAAGTATGAATGAAAGGAAAATTACTGCAAAAAGAACTTGTCTTAAGCAAGTGATTGATCTTGATCAAAAAATTCGTCCTAGTTGGACTAGTAGACATACCTAAGAAATTTATGCTATTTTTATTTGCGAAGTAATACAATTGTAAGTTTAGGCATGACTATAGATCAAGTAGGATCAAACCTTATAAATTTTCATTTGTATTTGTGTTTTTTAATTTCCATTACTTGTGTATTCATTTATTTGTTATTTAATATTATTTTATTGCCATGATTATTCTTTTATACACATATTATTATGTGGTTTCATTACTATTATTTCCAAAAAAAAAAGGTTAGTGTTGCATTAATAAGGACTCAATATCAATTAATACTATTCAATTTGCTGATCGCATTCCTCTTTTGTGGAGCTATTAAGCTGCAAGGCTTATACTTGAAACTTTGTCTTCAATTTTTTTTTGGTAAAGCTTATGCTCTCAAGATTAAGTCTTCCCCTATCTATCATTGGAGAATCTCAAATAAAGTTGACTATCTTGCTAGTAACCTATGTTGTGCTATGAAGTCCCTTTCTTTCAAGTACATTAATATCCCTCTTGGCTGCAAAACTATTAAATAAAAAAATCTAAATGTCATCATTGAAACTATCCAAAACAATCTTTCTATCCATCTTTCTAGCAGAATGTTAGCTCTTATCAACTTTATTATAATCAACCTTACTCTATATCACTTATCTTATCTTTCGAATCCTTTTTTTGTTTGTCTAGAAAAAGTAATTACATCAAGAAAAGATTTTCTTGGGAAATGGGATGTTGATTGTATGCTTGCAAATGACTACATATATATCTAGTAGGTAGTCAATATATTACAAGGGGAGGACTCATATCCAATAAGCCACACAAAGGAGCTTGCCCAAAGAGCATCAAACCCACTTGCTCGGGCATACGAAGGAAGGTCACCCCCCTCGAGGGCAATGGAAGACTTCATCGACCAAGTGACAACTCACCCCTACCCAAAGTGGGTGCCTCCATCCATGTGCCATTACAAGCCGACACTGAGTTAATCACCTCGGCTTCCTTAGCTCACTCACCTTCTATCTCTGATGATCGAAGGCCCAATATAGGTTGCCAATGGCTCCTAGATAGCAGTCAGCCATCAAACACCCCCCACTTGCTACTTGCTCGCAGGCTCACCCATTCCTACTCGACACTACTAAGCTAGCCCAGTGCATACTCGGCACTATTGAGCAAGCAAGAGACAGGTCATCATAACTAGCTATGCAGCCCCCGCTCTCCCTCAGTCAATCAAAAGGCAAAATGGGTCCAAGGAAGTTTGTGCAACATTGCATTTTTTTTTTCTTTTTGGGTCTACTCTTACTTGAAGACCTCATAACCCTATAAATAAGAGGTAAATATGGGCATTTTGAATCCTTTCGCTAGATATTGAATCTTTTGTTGGTCTATTGATTGAGCTCTAAGTATTTGCTTTACAGGTTTTAATAGCAGCCCCCTTTCTCTCTATTCTCATAAGTCTCATGCCACCACTCACTCATAGATCAGTCAACCAATCAGGTTGAGTATCATTCAAGGATAAATTTGGGTTTCAACATTGATGAAAGGGGATTCATCTTCTCATTTGGAAGAAAATATGCAAGCCTAAGAAATATGGTAATCTTATCTTTCATCATCTCTCTTGTTGCTAAATGTGCTTGGAAAACCATCAACATTGATGAGTCTCCTCTTGCATGCATTATTCTCGATGACTATTTTTAGGCTAAATACCCTACAGAATTTTGGAGGAAGAGCTCCTTAAATTATTCTAGCTATTATTAAAGGGACCAAGAAAATCATTCAACCCCTTTATGTTAACATCTTCTGGAAAGTTAATAATAATTGTTCTATTAAATTTTCAAAAGATAAGTGTCTTAACTTCCTCTATTGCTTTCAAAGACTTTTTTTTTAATAGCCTGGAATCCCTACTGCATTCTTATCTCAATTTGCTGCTACTTATGATTGCGTGATTCATTGTAATAAGACTACTGACTACCCCAAAATATTTGCATTATGAAATTGATCATTGAAACTCTCTTCTTAATCATATTACTATCAATGATTCTAAAGTTTCTCCTAGTTGAGCTCTGAATATGGGGAAACTCAGTCTGAAATCCTTTTACTTGCACAACTACAAATAACATATGAATAGTCTATTTCTTCTCTTGATGTTCTCTGCTTTATATTGGATGGTTTCCTCGATAAAATTGCAAACAAATCTTTCCTGCTCTAGTTGAATTGAGTTTCATGTAATGCTTATTGCACTTGCAACCTTAATTCTGAAACTGATTCTTATATCTTCCTTAACTGCAATGTTGTTCTAGCAATAGGAATGTTAAGGGTCTATAAAGGAAATGGAGACTCAAAGAGGATTATTTAGTATACGTAATTTCCTTAGCACACTTCTAGTCTACAATTGTAATGAGAATAAAGCGGATACTATCAAAGAAAATATGAGAAGCCTTGGCTTTCCAGATAATCTTAAAGACCTTAACCAGATTTGTTGAGATTCTTTTGCCATATAATATTTTTGTGTATCATTCATATTTTCTAATCTTTGGTATATTTTCTCTTTTTCTTCATTAATGAGAAGCATAGTCCAAGCTTATCTATATAAATGGAGAAGCCATTAAAAAGAAAATCATAGGACATAGAAATAACATCATCAAACTTGCTATTAAACGTATAAAAAAGGAAGTTGTACCCTTAATGCCGCAACAACCTGATAGGAAATACTCGAGTTCGCAAGTAGCCCTACGGTAATACTTGAGTTTGCAAGCAAACCTATCATCGATTGGTGGAAAACAGTGAGAATAATGCAAAAGTCTGGGCGAAATCAGCCCCAAAATGTTGTATTGCAACAAGGAAATCAAAGTCAATCAAAACACGAAAGCAAGATACATGTGATCCTCAATTCAAGAGAAGGATCATTCTCTCCTAATATCTAGACTAAGAAATCTAGAGCCAAGATGCCAAAAGACTCCAAGAGAAAAACCAAAACAAAGCATGCATAACCTAACCCTAAAACAACTTATACTATTAATACATTGATTTCCTAATTCGAATTCTTTCTCTCTCCCTAGCCGCCCATTTATCTTTCCTTGCTTTTCTTCTAGTGGGGCCCACAGCATAGGGCGGCACATTAATGGGAGGCAGCACTTGTCCGCCTCCTGTAAACAATAGCCGGCCTCCGGCTAAAGGAGAATCCACTTGACTTTAAATTTCATAAAAAATATGAATGAAAATATACATTAAGCAAGACAACTCGAAACAACCGTATTTTAACAAGCATATGTTAGCAAGTTTTAGTAAATTCTCATGAACACTAGCTAAAGGAGAATCCGCTTGACTTTAAATTTCATAATACATGGGAACCAAATGAAAGAAAGATGTTTTCCCAGAGAAGCAGACAAATACATAATCCAGAACTTATAAGAATATATTTTTAGTAAATAAATTGATAAATATAGTTACTGAAGACAAACAATTGAATAAAGCCCATATGGTTAAAAGGTAAATATTGATTGGTTAGAAAACTGTTAATTATTATTTTCTGGAAATTCTTGTGACAGGTCCATATCTCATCAAGCATGCAGAAAGCCCCTTTCCTCCAAGAATGTAACAACTTGGCTTGACATGGCAGCTGGAGGTGGACATACCCCATCTTCTGGCTTGATCTCTATCTGCGTTGAAGAAAAAAATGAATTCCCTTCTGAGTTTAATGTAGAAAAAAACTACCGCGCCGTCATAATCATCAGATATGGTAAAGAAAAGAAGTTGCTAATAACATTTTGGTGATCATTTTCCTTTATGTTTGGTACCTTATCTAGATAGGAGCAGCAATAATATTTTCCAAAGGTCTATTTTAGTTCAATAAATTGTTAGAGGTAGCAATGCAGCGTTTCACTAAGGTTTTGTTTTGTTTGAGACGGCTTTCTTACTGCTTCTTCACGTAACTTTTTAGTACAAAAATTAAATTTTTGTACTAAAAATTTGCGTTAAGAAGAAGTAAAAAAGTCATCCCAAACAAAACCTAAGTCATCAGACAAGCTTGTGGTGCAGAGCATATGAAAGTAGTATCCGGCAACTTAATAACAGTTCATGAATTACCTACAAAGAATCAAAGATTAAGTGAATTACTATATAATATAGTGACTTGAATCATTGAGTACAGTTAGATAAGTCAAGAATTCAAATAGATGGGGTAAAATCAAGAAAGAAAAAGGAGAATGCACAATGATGCAGGATGTCCTAGGATCACAATTATGATTTTACACAATTACATCTATCAATAATAGGTGTTAAAGACTGCCTCAATTAATTAAGAAGTTGGATATGTACCTCACAATTCAAAGGTGTCTCATATGGATCATCTATTCCAGTGAAACCTGCAAAAGTACTGACATTAATGAAGAATCAATAGAAGTGTTGAAATTGTTCAAACATTAAATTTCGAGATGACAAGTCGTATTAGGTTGTCTTTGTGCCTGATTTTGTTTTTGACCAAAAATAGGCTTGTATGAAATTAACCCAAAAGCATATCATGCCCATTAAGATCTGTCTCCGTTAATGGGTTAGATGACTCAAACTAATATAAAACTTTTCCACAAGGCAGGTGAAACTCTGGCCATGCATGCCCAAAACATTTAAAATTATTTTACTGCCTTTTTCAATGTTTTGTACTCTATATTGTAACCAATTTTCCAACCCAGTATGACACCTTTCTAGGTCTTAGTTCAAATACAAAATATATAAATAAAAAGAATTAATATTGGGGATATTCTCAAATTTTTTTAGACATTTAGGCCAATTAAGACACTCACTCACACATCACATACGCAAGACTCGAATCCAATACCTCTTGGTTTATAGTCAAAGCTCTCAATTAATATACCAAAATGAGCTAGGTGGATATTGATCCTGTGGAATGTTCCAAGGTTGATTCTATATTGCACAGTTATTATGGAATAAAATGGATCAAATACTTGAATTAGTGAGAGGTTCAAAAAATCTTTATATAATCATCTGGAAAACTCTTCTCATTGTCTCGTCTTGAGAACAATCCCTCAGCTAGGATCTTCTTAAAATAGTTAGCATTGTTCTACATTTGTAGAATGCTATTTTGATCCCATCGATTAATCTTTATCAGAAAAAAGATCAGAGACTCTCATCATTAAAATCATCCAATATAAGCATCATTATTAGCAAGTACAACTAGCCCAAGTCCAGGCATTCAATCTCACTGAAATGGCCTATACAAAAGTAACTTTTGTATCTCTTAAAAAAATTTAAGGTGATATCAACATTAAAGAACTAATTTAGCTGCAGCATTCTTCATTAAATTTAACCTTTTATCTTTCCTTGACGAGCAAGCTTGTAAAGGCCTTTTGGATCCCTTGCTTCACAAATCTCTAAAGGAATGTTCATGAAAACCTTTAAGAAAATTCAGAGATTAAACTAGCTGCTTTAGAAATCATTATCAGTGTCAACTAAATGCGTAAATTCATAAAGCACCTACTTCAATAAAACTAGACTCCGGTAACAGTGCACGGCAAGAATCACGGTCTCTCCTGTAAGGAGAAATCAGGCTAGCAATACAGATCAAGCCTGAATCAGCAAAGAGCTTAGCTACCTCACCTACATAGAAAGACAACATAAAATCAAGAAAATTACAGTCGCTTGATGATATTCACACTATACAAATACTTCTTTTGTGAAAGAAGTAAAAAACTATAAAAACCTCTCATAATTGATATAAAGCAAGAATTTTGCATAAGCTCATTTTGAAATATAAAGGATTGAAGAAATAGGTGTAGATGTCTAGATTTAGAACCATACTTACCAACCCTACGTATATTTTCTGCACGATCTTCTGCTTTGAAGCCAAGATCCTTGTTTAGCCCATGTCTGAGGTTATCTCCATCAAGGATGTAAGAGAGCTTTCCCCTACCATGCAAGTCTCTGCCCAAAGTACAAGCTAATGTGCTTTTCCCTGGTCCAAAGGTAGAATTAGAAGTCAAAGAGATAAGCTGGAGATTGAATATTGTATAAGATTGGTTTTGTGCTAATTATGATATAAGGGTTCTTCTGAAGAGCATGATGTATGGTTTGGCCATTTTGTTATCTTCTGAAGGAACATGCTTTTTTTGTTCAAAACGAGCATTTGGTAAGGTAGTGTGATTACAATAACATCAAGCTTTTGTCCCACTACGTGGGGTCGGCTACATGAATCCTTTTTCTCTTTTGTGACTTGTTCAAAGTCAAATTCTTATTTAAATCTAATAAAAAAATATCATTTCTAATATTTTTTGACCAAGTCTTTTTAGGTATATCTCTACCTTTCTTAACATAAGTCAAATCTAATACCTCAACTTTTCTAATCGGGTCATCGGAAGGCCTCCATTTAATGTGACCAAACCATCTAAGGAGACTCTCTCTAATCTTATCTTCCACTGGAGCTACACCAACCTTATCTCGTATATGCTCATTTCGTATCCTATCCCTAAGGGTAAAGCCACTCATCCACCTAAGCATCCTCATTTCTGTAACACTTAACTTAGTATTATGCTTCTCTTTTAAAGGCCAACATTCTACACCATAAAGCATTGCAGGGGTAAGGTAGTGTTATTGTGTTGTAAAAGTTAAAGTCACCACTCGTCTCAAATAAATGAACGGTTGTTTTCAAGTGCCTTTCCCATGTATGTGAAACTATGGAGTAGGTGCATGCTCAACATGAGTTTTAATAGCATGTT